CTGTTCTTCCCCCCACCTTGAAGGAACAGTTTGAGTGAATAGATTACCCTTGCCTTCTGCTGTGAGGATAACAAGTTTAGACTTCAGGACTGTCAGTCAGTAGGAGCAAATCAAAGAACATTTTGCATCTGAGAAAATCTGCCTTATGTCTAGAAAAAGTCACACTGAAACTCTCTTAGGTGAAGATCTTGAGTTGGCATATGTCAGATGGAGTGTCCTAGTAGACCATGCTGCCCAGGTTTCTGATTTACCTGTCTTAGTATAACGAACTTTTTTTTCCTTGTTGGTTTTAGTGTAATGAACTCTGTGTCCTTGCCTTCAAGTTGTTAATTAATTTTTCTCTGTGCAGATAATATATAGTCCCTCTGCTTGCCATTTCTGTCTTAGTCACTAAATCAGGTTCTATTGGTTGTTATCCAAACACTTGTTATCTCATACGCAAACCAATTTATTTTGTAATTTTAGTGGCTAAACTTACTGAAATATTTGTTTACAGTTTTACTACAAATAAACACTTTAAAATTTGTAAACATTACAGAAGTATGTAGCACACTATGTAAAATTTTTCCACAGCCCCAATCTAGTTAACCCTTGGTTAATAATTTGATGTATATTCTTGCATTTTCAGTGTTTTTTTTAAACAAAATATTTTACTATTGTTTTGTCTTTTGCATGTAAATGCACATACCTAAGATTTTTTTCAGTTCATTAGTATCTAACTTTATTCTTTTTAAATCATATATATTTCATTATATAGATGTACCATTTATTCATTTAACCAATTCTCTTTAAATGAGCCTCCAGGGTTTTTTTCCAGTTTTTTTTTTTTTTTTTTTTTTTTTTCCTGTTACAGAAAGTGCTGAAGCTAACATCCATATATATTTCATTTTGTACTTTAATGTGAATATTCAGCTTACTTTTTTCCAAATGGCTAGCCAATACCTTTTATTCAAAAAATTCATATTTTCTCCCATTCAACTGAAATGCTACATTTATATAAATGATGCTCCTAGACTTAAAATACGGTTACATCCTGATAAACCCTTGGTAAGTTGAAAATATGGATCTCTTCATCATATTGGATCATTCTGTCCCCAAACAACTTATATGTCTCTGTATTTTTCTTAAATCTTTCAGTAGAGTTTTATGATTTCCTTACATGTCCTATGAAGTTATTGCTATGTATTACATATGTTTTACAGTTACAAATTGCAGATCTTTTTACTAATATTTTCTGGCTGGTTTTTGGCATGGAAGAATGCTATATATTTTCATATAATTATTTTATGTGGTCACGTTAGTGAACCGCTCTAATTTTCTCTAATATTCTTTTCAGTTGATTCTCATGGATTTTTCATGTCAGCAGTCATTATCTGCAAATATTGATTATTTTGCCTCTTTGTTTCCTAATCCATTTAACTTTAATATGGTTTTCTTTTCTTTTCTTTCTTTTCTTTTTCTTTTTTGAGACATGGTCTTGCCCTGTTGCCCAGTATGGAGTGCAGTGGCACAATCACAGCTTACTGCAACCTTTAACTCCTGGGCTCAAGTAATCCTCCTGACTCAGCCTCCCAGTTAGCTAAGGTTACAGCCTCATGCCGCCATGCCTGGCTAATTTTTAAATTTTTTTGTGGAGACGGGGTCCTGAACTCCTGGCATCAAACAATCTTCGCATCTTAGCCTCCCAAAGTGCTGCGATTACAGAAGTGGGCTACTGTGCCTAGCAGGCATACTTTTAAAAATACATATAGGTAGACTGGAACTATCACTTTGTAGATAAACTGTCCCATTGGTGAAAAAAAATACTCAATTTCTGTATAAAGTTGTGGTATTGGTAACTTTGTTAGTACCATTTGCATCTTTGCAGTAAGATTCAAATTAAATTATATCCTAAAAGAATTTTTTTCTGTGGGTTTTTTTTTTTTTTTTTTTGTATACTTGCACACCTGAACAAGAGATGGAAACCTACAACAATAGGAGTCTAAATCAGTGGCTATTTTTCTGAGTTGCTTAGTTGAAGCACTTCAGAATGGTGATTCCAGTGCCTCAGCCCCATTCTAGACTAGTTAAATATGAGTCTCTGAGGAGTGGGACTCAAGCATCTTTTTTTTTTTTTTTTTTTTAAAGCTCCTCATGTGATTCCAATATTTGGCAAACTTATTGAGAATTACTAGTCTAATTAAAATTCTATATGCCAATAAAATTGTGTTTATTTTATCTTAAGTGGCTATTTTCTGTACACGAAACAGTTTCATGTCTCCATTTGGAAAAACGTAATTAAAATAAAATGAAATTAGATATATTGAGAAGTAAAAATCTGGAGACCTTATCGTGGTAGATGCATACATATATAATATTGTTTATGATATATCAGTTTAAGAATTATAAATTTCCCTTCTGAACTGGTTAACCAAAAAATCATTGTTCATCAAGAGTCATTTAGTAAGTAATTTGAGTATTAGCCATGACATGGATAAAATATTAAAGTATTATGCCAGAGAATATATTTACTGGGTATATACAGAAAGTGTTTTGTTTAGAGTCATGCACAATCATTGAAATGTTGGATAGTGATGTGAGAGTTTGCACTGAAGAGGAATGAGTTTTTGACGTCAGGTACCAGTAGCTTTCTGAATTTCCTGACCAACATAGGAAATGATTATAGAAACATCAATTGGGTAACCCAGCAAAAAAACAAACAAAATTTCCAGTCTGATTGTTTGCCTAAAGTACAGTCAGTCCTTGAGGTCAGTCCTTGATCACAGGTTATACCAGGTGTTAGCAAACTATGACCTGTGAGTCTAATCTAGATCTTTTCTAGAAATAGTTTTACTGGACATAGCCATTGTTTATTCATTTTCATATTGTCTATGGCTGCCTTTAGGCTCCTACCATAGAGCTGAATCATTTGACATAGACTGTATAAACTGCAAAGCTTTATGTACTATCTGACCCTTTATAGAAAGTTTGCCAACCCCTGTATTACACTGTTGTTGTATATACACATTAAGACTATTGTGTCACACATTACTTGCTCATACTCTCAAATAGATTCTCTTAAGCTGAATTTGGTCTTTCATACACAAGTGACTAGAGATCATTCTGTTGTTAGGGCTTTCAAATGAAGGCTGCAGTTGAGGGAATGGGATTTACCTTGGCAGTTAGGGGATTATACTGCTAGTTCTCTGATACTCCTACTGTAGATAATCAGGATTTTGCTCACTTACCTGGGGCAGGTGTCTTCTTGCCTAGCTCATTTTCCATGTTCTTCTGCATCACTGCTGTTGCTCCCTCTTTTGAGGGTCGGTGTATGGTAGCAGGTTAACCGAAGCAGGTGGATTTGGAACCTGGTCCATGAAGATCTTCCGTTGTAGTCACAGGAGAAAAAGACCATTTTGCACACACCTTGCTAATAATGGAACTGAATGTGGAAGATTAAAGATTAGGAGCTGTTCAACCTTTAATTGTGGCTCAAGTGGAGAGTTAAAAAAGATGTGGAGGTCTAGTAGAAGAAACATATCTGGCTCACTTTCTCTAGTCTCAGATGCAGCAGAGGAGTAGCTGGCTACCTCTGAGCTATCAGCCACCTCTTCACCTGGGGCATATGAATACTAGCCAAGGCTCTGACATACTTGTCTCTTACTTACACTTATCAAAGCAGTACCTTCAATTAGCTGGCCATGATGGCACGCACCTTTTAGTCCTACCTATTTGGTGGGTTGAGTGAGAGGATCACTTGAGCTGAGGAGTTCAAGGTTACAGTGAGCAGTGATTGCACCACTGCACTACAGCCTGGGCAACAGAGCAAACAGAGCAAGACCAACCTGTTTTTTGAGGCGGAATCTCACTCTTGTCGCCAGGCTGGAGTGCAGTGGTGCGATCTCTGCTCACTACAGCCTCCGTCTCCCAGGTTCAAGTGGTTCTCCTGCCTCAGCTTCCTAAGTAGCTGGGACTACAGGTGCACGCCACCAGACCCAGTTCATTTTTGCATTTTTAGTAGAGATGGGGTTTCACTATGTTAGCCAGGATAGTCTCGATCTCCTGACCTTGTGATCCACCCGCCTCAGCCTCCCAGAGTGCTGGGATTACAGGCGTGAGCCACTGCTCCTGGCCAACTTTTTTTTTTTTAAACAGTACCTGCAAGTACACTCAGTATTAAAAAATATAAACATTTTTAGCTTTCTAAGAATATACTCTACCCCTTCTTACATGTAAAGCTGTTAATAATGTTTTAGCCCTTTGATTTTCAGATACTTTTGTAGAAAGGCATTGAATACAAAAGCAAGGAAGGTGCCTGTAAATGAGACAGAATGTAATGATGTGCTGGTAAACACTGGCAGCCTGATCATCAGAGCAACAAGTTTGGAATAGAAGCTACAGTCTTGAGAAAAATGTTGGAGTTATTCTTTTGTTAAATGTGAGAAGCTACTGCAAATGTACATTAATAAATGTCAAGTTATTTTTGTGACTCCAGAAGATTGTTATTTTTTAAAATAAAATATTTGAGATGGTTTCAGACCAAAGCTTCTTATTTGAAATCTCATTATTTCATGTATTCTGTTTGTAATTTAGGCCTAGATCTGTGCCTGAATGACTTTTCTATTGGGTATAATTGTACCCAACCTTACTCAATATATCTATGTAAAAGAGAAGTTATTCTGCTTGTTGATTTTTCTTTTCCTGAGGTACTGTAAGGAATATGGGACCTGTGTTTGGGCTCAGTTTTCTAGACTGTGGTGGCGCCAAGTGCTGTTAGTGTTTGGAGACCCTGGCATTTTTGCTTTCCTAGTGTGATAAGACAATGAAGGGAGTACATTTAAGGGAAGCAGGCCGAATTGCTTCTTAGAATAAATGAGTTAATAAAGATACCACTGATTAACTCTCTCTCATGTGAATTTTTCTAAGCACTTTAAAATTTTACTTAGCTTTGTTTATGGTATGTGATTTTCTAAGTTTACTCCCCTCCCCCCACTAACCCTCATTCCTTCTTTATATGATAGATCAACGACTATCGTCTATTCCACAAGATGAGTAACAGCCACCCTCTTCGCCCCTTTACTGCAGTGGGGGAAATTGATCATGTGCACATTTTGTCTGAACATATTGGTGCCTTGTTGATTGGGGAAGAATATGGCGACGTCACATTTGTCGTGGAAAAGAAACGTTTTCCTGCCCACAGGGTGATTTTAGCAGCCAGGTGCCAATATTTTCGGTAAGTGTGTAATACGTTTTTGAAAATTCAGTTCACCTGTAGAAAACACTCGTATATTCTGCTCTGTGAAAAATATGTAACCAAGCATGATGACAAATTCTTGCATCCCTCAATAGAATATCTATAAAGATTTCATCTTTGTAGACTTTGTTATTTTTTGAGAATGGCCTTTTCCTTTAGGAGCCATCTTAAAACTAAAGGGTTGGAAGGTTTCCCAGGCCAGATAGTGCCCAATCAACCATTTTTCAAGGTCTCAAGAATGTTTCTCAGGCTGAGTCTTTGTTGTCCTCACCTTCTCCTCACAGTAGATGGCTGATGGGACTTAAGCTTCTTTTTGTATAGGTAGACTGACCTCTGGACCTGCTAATGGGCACATATACCCGCTTGGTTTGAGACTGCTGAGGTCTAGGACCTGTTAGTAATCCAGCAGGTCTAAGAGGTGTACTTATATGCAGCTATTGTTTGTTACTTGAGTCCTTAATTTCCAGGGTTATAAATCTTAAGCTGATCTTTAACTACTCTGCATTTTAATATTTATCAACAGTGAGTCATCACTGAATTACGGAGTTATAATTTATGCTTGATAATGGATCTTTTTCTATTCGTAAGGACAAAGATGGTCCACAGAGTTAGAGATTTATCTGGGAAACTTGGTTCCTGAAATGGAGATGCCATTGGCTTAGAGAACATTTCAGTTACCTTCTAGTGATAACCACGGTCTGGCTTTTATAATCAGAATTAAGAAAGACAGCAACACCTAGAGTCAGACATGTTGTGGTAAAGTGTGTCTTCTGGAAATATTTACTCTATAGATAGAGCTCCTGTGGTTTTTCATAAACTTCTTATCTTATACATGTAAAATGCCACTGTAGGTGAAACCGGGGGCTTAGAAAAATGAGGAGTCTGTTAAAACTTCTAACACTCTCCTCTTCTTCCTAGTGGTCAACTCTACCAAGGCATCTGACCTTGGTCTCGCCATTATTTCTTACCAGCCTCTGTCCTTTGCACACTTTTCCTTTTGTGTTTATTTCCCTTTTAAAATGTTTGGTCCAGTCATTATTATTAAAGTGTTTTACAAGAGTCCGCTTTTTATTAAGTCAGAACTTCTCAGCCTGTGTTTATTATTTATTAATACTGTATACCTTGCCCTCTTTCAAAAATAATTTGAAACAACTCTATGTGGGTATCGTTTAGGTGATTAGTATATTCTTGAGTTTCTTTTACTCAAATATATATATTTTAGAAAGTTGAAGATCATATTGAGTGAATGGAATATACTAACCCCACTTACTGACCTTGTTCTTGATGTCTTTGTAGATATTTAAGCTTTGTAATATTTGCTGGCTCACTAAGCTAAGCTCAGAGTCTTCCTTAGACTACCTTAGAGCTAAGTTCTACCTCTAAGTCTACCTTAGAGCTAAACTCATTGCTGACAGTATTCATATGCAAAAGAATGTTAACTGTCAGCTGTCAGAAGACGCCTAAGTACTGTCATGTTAGCCTATCAATTCCCAGATAAGGAACCGTGTAAGAGGAAACTTTTCATAGTAAACATCGAACCTCTGTGCTTGTCTTGGGGGTTCATATTTATTGTTCCAAGGGAGCCTCATCAAAACCACTTTTAAAGCATTGAGAATCCAGATAAATACTACAGATCATACAGGACTGGAGTTAAGACTTGTTGAGGTCTCCCCAAAAAGGAGAAGTTATTTAATTTGGTAATTTTAGAGTAATGGTTGGATGCTCTCTGGATTAATGGAAACCCTCAAGGGTATTTTTAGGCAGAGTATAACCCAGTGAAGAGGTGTGCTCAGAATATTCATTAATCTTTGCTGGATGGTTTCAGCTATTTTCCTAGGGCAAGCAAGAATGCTAGGTCCTTGGGTAGTGTGGGACAAGTTCCAGATAGGTAACCTTGAAATGCTAGTCCTACTCTGAGAATTTTAGGAACAGAGAGAATCTCTTTCTTGCTTCCAGTCTCTTCCTGTCACTTTTGCATCTTTTCTTTCTCATTCTGTATTCTTCCCTCCCTTTTCTGCACTTCTCCCTTATCCTGTTCCTCCTTTCTTTCCTGATAGGTTGGAAGTTTAACTGGTTCATATTATTCCTGCTTGATTAATAGAGGTAGAAATTCAACACTTGATCTTAGCCAAAAGGCCGAGAAGCGATAATAGAGGTAGAAATTCAAATTCATTACCTAACTGAATTGTCTAGTTTTCATTTTTTTTAGATAAGCAATAATGTAGGGCTTTTTGTTTAATCTGAAAGGAAAAAAATTAAAAATCACCCTAATCCTATCAGTAATTTCATTTTTAATTTATAAAGTAACAAATGAAAGTCTTTTTTTCCCCGCCATCTAATACCATTTTGCAGAGAAAAATGATGTTAACAGTTTAATATGAATTTCCTCTGATTTAAAAAAAACTTTGAATCCAATCTGATTTCCTCTGATCTGATTTAAAGAAATATCTGTGTAGACATATGTGCATAAACATGTAAATATGTGGTTATATACTTTTTTCATGCAGTACATATGGATCTGAGATTTTACTTATTCAACTACCATATCCTGGACATCTTTTCAAAACAGTACCTGTTGATCTCCCTTGATCTTTCTAAAGCCTGTATAGAATGTGTATATCACAGTTTTTTTTTTTAAAACCATGTTGCTGTTGATGGACATTTAGATTTCTTCCTGTGTTTCGGTGTGCATTCTTACACATTTTTTTTTACTGTATTATTTCTTTAGAAATGAGTCCTAAAAGAGAGATTACTGAGTTGAAGGGTATGCACATTTTAGGTTTGACTATATGCTACTAAATTACTTTCCATAAAGGCCTGCACATTTTTACTGTAAAAGCAGTGCATCAAACAGCCTGTTCAACCTGTTTTTCCATTGCTTTTGCAGCACTGATACTAACACACCTTTTAATTTCTGCCAGTCTTACAGGGGAGAATGACATCATATTAGTGTTCGTCTTTATCTGGTTATATCTTTTCCTATAGAGTTTTACTTTTTAAATTGCCTTATTGATCTTTAACATCTTTTTATCAACTTCATTGTGCCTCTCAAAAGATTACACTCATCTTTCTATTTAATACCTATCACATATCTTGAGGTTTCAGAGTACCTCAGAAAAAATTTCAGAATATTTTAGTGGTTTATAGAATTAATTCAGATAGTTTTAAAATCATTCCTCTTGCTTCCTTTAAAGAACCATTTTGTATGATTACTTTGCATTTTTTCATTTAGATCTTTGTGTCATTAAACAAATTTATATTTGCATAATGTCGATAACTGTTATTTCCAGTATTTTGTAGCAAATCCTATTTGAAGGTTTCTTCATGTGTTTCTTCCCTGATGTGCAGAGCATTATTGTATGGCGGAATGCGAGAGTCTCAGCCTGAAGCAGAAATTCCTCTCCAAGACACCACTGCAGAAGCATTCACAATGCTCCTCAAGTATATCTACACAGGGCGGGCAACGCTGACTGATGAGAGGGAGGAGGTGCTGCTGGACTTTTTAAGCCTGGCTCATAAATATGGATTTCCAGAGCTAGAGGATTCTACTTCTGAGTATCTCTGCACCATACTTAACATTCAGAATGTCTGTATGACTTTTGATGTTGCCAGTCTGTACTCACTTCCCAAGTTAACTTGTATGTGCTGCATGTTTATGGACAGGAATGCTCAGGAGGTGCTCTCAAGTGAAGGTTTCCTCTCTCTTTCTAAGGTGTGTGTCATTTGTCTACAGGTAATTTATACGCATGCATTGTTTTATTTATACCTATAAAGCAGAAGTATAGAAATGGACTAAGCATAAAAAAATAAAAAGCATTGGTATCAAAGAGGTTATCTGGTCTAGTCACTTGCCTCCAGCTACTGGGACTCTAGATCATAAAAGAGAGAGGCTGGTTGTTTGTGTTTTCTTTTAAGGTTCTGGTAAGTTTTATGTGTAAAAGAGACTGTGCTGCTGAGTAGTTGTTTTCAGTGTAGTGACAACCAAATAGGATCCTTTGTGGTATTGCATACTACCTCTTGGTTTTGTTTTTCTCTGACAGAGAGTGTGACTGATACTTCCTTAGAGCAAGCAGGCAAATTCATAAAAGAGGTCTTTAAGTCACTGCTTTTTTTGCTGGCTTAAAATTCAGCTAGAGTAAAATTTAGCTAGAGCAAAACGGTTTTGCTCAAATCTTCCTTTGAACTCTGGGTAGTGATCATCTCTCCATTTCTCTTGTGTTCCTTCTAGAACCTGGATATTTCTAACGAGAAAACCTATTGAAAAGCTACATATTCTGATTTGAGTGTAAATTAAGATTTGTATTATCCTATTTCTTTTTTTCTACTTGATTTTTAAAGACAATGATCTTTGAGGGTTGCACCATTGTTGCTGGCGGTCAGTTTGGAGATCTGAGAGCCAAAAATGTGGTAGTGAAGTAACACTAAAACAAAACACTTTGAATTGTAAATGCCAGATGTATCTTTCTAACTTAACAATGTACACTTTCTTGAAGAATCTATATGTATTGACAGCTTTTCACTTTGGCACTTTTCTTTTTTGCTGCTTTAAAAAAGATGGATGCAGATGTGTTTGGAAAGACTAGATGTTTGTTGTAGCGGTACAAGATACCTGAGCATAAAAGAAAGGTGCTGCCATCCTTGTTATTTACACAGCCATCATGAGCAGGAGAATATGTGGCACAAAGCATAAGGGAAGAAGAGGGTCAAACAGAGTTAATTGGCTAAACATAAGTTATATTTGTTCTGTAAGCTTTTACTGATGGATCATGCAATGGTTGAACTTCATATGACTGGAGTTTTCCCTTTCTATCCTTTTCAGACAGCACTTTTAAACATCGTGTTAAGAGATTCATTTGCAGCTCCTGAAAAAGATATTTTCCTAGCCTTACTGAACTGGTGTAAGCACAATTCAAAGGAGAATCATGCTGAAATCATGCAGGCTGTGCGTTTACCTCTCATGAGCCTCACTGAACTTCTGAATGTTGTGAGGCCTTCGGGACTGTTGTCTCCTGATGCCATTCTGGATGCCATTAAAGTGCGATCTGAGAGCCGGGATATGGACCTCAATTACAGAGGCATGCTCAGTAAGTACCTTTCTATCCTAAACTCACCAAGAAACTTTATGTGCCTGTTATACCATTCACAACTACACAGCTACTACAGAACTGTATAATGCAGGTGTTCATGAAATATGTACATTTATAAACAGCTAGCTTTGCTTCCGGTGGAATGTCTTTCCCTGTCATTTTCCTGTCAATTCCTCCTGAGATTGATTAGCCTTTGTAGACCCTAAAATAGATATTTCTTTCCATTTCTGGACAGATTTCTCAACTGCTCCCCCAGAATGTCAGAAATAGATATAGACACTTTCCTAAAAAGCTGCTTCTCATGTTAAGACGTTTTCTTCCTTCCTCCATCAAGTAAATACTGAGTACATGATGTGTACTTATTATTTTGGGTACCATGAACATGGAGATTCTTTTTTTTTTTTTTTTGAGACGGAGTTTCACTCTTGTTACCCAGGCTGGAGTGCAATGGCACAATCTTGGCTCACTGCAACCTATGCCTCCAGGTTCAAGCAATTCTCCTGCCTCAGCCTCCCAAGTAGCTGGGATTACAGGTGCCTGCCACTATGCTTGGCTATTTTTTGAGTCTGGCTTATAAATATTGATTTCCAGAGCTAAGGGATTCTACCTCTGAGTATCTCTGCATCATACTTAATATTCAGAATGTCTGTATGACATTTGTATAATAGCTTTTGTCTGCATAATAGCTAACACTTACATAGTATTTCCAGTACTTACCACCACTTAAGTGGTAATTTTTCTTATTAATGAATTCATAGCAATTAACACTTACAGAGTGCATAGTATGTATCAAGAACAGGTCCTACATGACTATTTAATTCTCACAACTTTTTGAGGTATATACTGTCATTGACTCCATCTTACAAACTGAAACAGAGAAATTAAGTAACTGCTCAAGGTCACACAGAAAGATGGCAGAGATGAGAGTCAAACCTATGTAGTTTGGCCCCAGAAGTTGTGTAATTAACTGCTAAACTATGCTGCATAATTGTTACATATAGTCTCTGTTTTTGATACTTTTAATTTCATTGTGGAAATAAGACATAAACTCCCATGAAAAGTTACATACAACAGTATTCAAGGGAGTACATGTTATAGAACTTCAGAAGAAGAAATGGCTTGGAATGTTTGAGGGAGATTTCATGGAAGTCATGAAGCTTGAGTTGAGCCTTGACATTTGATTCAAATAGTGTAAGAGTTGGGTGAATTTCAGATGGAAAGAATCATGAAGTTAATAGACAGAGGTTAGAGTATTTGAAGAGACCATAAATAGAAGAGCTTGATTAGAGTAGAAGGCTTTTATTGATTAATAGCAGAGAAACTATGTGAAGGTCAGCTTAGGCTAGTTTATGGAAGTCTTTGAAACTAGATTGGAATCTCCCTTATATGCAGTGTGGAACCAGTTTGAGAGAGGAAGAGTGGTATGCATACAGTGGTGTTTTTGAAAAACTGATTCATAGTGCTGTATTTGAGGATTTAGAATAGGTAGGGGGAAACTGATTCAGGGAGGCCAGTGAGGAGGGTATTTAATCTGTGCACAATTGATACTACCTTAAACCAGATTGGTGGCAGGGAAATTGAAAATAATGGATGATTAGAATGAATATTATGGAAAAAAATAGAACTTGGTGATTCAAGTGATTTAAATTTGGGAATTAAATTTAGGAGAGAGTTACCATTTGTCATCACATCTAAGAAGTCAGAAATTCTCAGGCACCATTATCTTATGTTCCACTAAGGAAAGAAACAATATTGCCAATTAACCGTTACGCACTATATTGTCTACATCGGAATTTCAGAAATTTAAAAAAATTGATCACCAAGTGTGTCTTAGTAATGAAGTACAGTACTTCTTTGAAGAAGATGCTGAACTTGTTTTAGATTGAGTCTGAGGGTTTTGGGGACATGCAAGTTGTACGTTCTGTCCTGTGCTAGTCATTTTCCTGAGTGTTCTGTTCTTGACTATGCCTTTGAACACTCTCTGGAAATACTTATTGATCTTAAATAGATGTCCTTAACAGACCTCTCTCCTGACTTATCAGGTGTAGATTTCTTTTCACTGATTATAGAAGAAAAAACATAAGTTTTGGCTCAGACACATTTGACCTCAAATCCGGAATTAGTCACTAGTTGTATGATCTGGTATTAAATTATTTAAAGAGTTTTACCTTTTATTTTATATCTCCTAGTATTGTTATGAGACTTAATTGAAATAATGTGTGCAAATAATGTGTATAAGCTCCCTATAGGAAACCGTTGTTACCATATATCATTTTGATGGTTTTTTTTTCTTTTCTCTGTACAACTGTGTGAGAATTACCACATTGATCACATTATTTTAAACATTTTTGTTTACTTGTCTTTGATCCTTGAAGGCAGAGGTGATCTTTGTAGGCCTTATTGATTTCTGTATCCTCAACATTTAACACACTTACTAGCATATAACGGGTACTTGGTGAATGCTTAGGGAATGAATGCAGGGAGAAATGTCTAATACAAAGTAGAAACACATTACTGTTTAGGAAGCAGTCAGATCTGGTGATAAAAGAGTTGAAACCTGAGTTAGATTATAGAGAAAGAAGTAAAAATCTAAGTCTGAGACTTGGAGAAAACCTATAGCTAGGGGACTTAAGGTAGATAAGGAAGTCGGAAGGCATTTGGGACTGAAGAGAGTTAAAGAGGACAGCCAGAGGACAGAGCTTTCATATGGATTCAGTGGTCAGTGGTCTCATGATGGGGAGGTCAAGAAAATTCAGAGACAACTTTTGTATCTAAATTGTGATTAGTTGGTAAGTAATTGGGACAGAAGAATGGCTTCCAGGGAATTAGGCCATGGATGTTTGGAAACGTAATAGAGATAACATACTGTCTCTCTGATTTGTGAATTGGATTGAAAGGTAGTAAAAAAATAGTATGGTACCTAGAGAGATCAGGCTGGGAGAGTCCAGAAAGAAATCAGAGGTGCTAGAGAATGGTATGAGTTAAGGGTCAGCTTTGGATAAAGTGTGGGAGGATGGCAAGTGAAGAGGTAGTAAGATGAGTAATTAGTGTTAGGCTTTTCAAATTCTCATGTTGGATCCTGTCTTATATAAGTTCCTTTCCCTCACTTGCCCTAGATTTGATTTGAAGTGCTGAAAAGGCCCTAGTACTGGATTCACTATAGGGACAATCTTGGAACATGTTTGCAGGAGTGAGGATTTGTTTTGGACATTTTACATGGTTACTGGTAGCTTGGAATGATCAACTGGTCAGTATAAGGGTGGTATCTGGGTTATAAGAAACTCATGAGATTAGTTGTGAAAGGGAGAACTTAGCCAGATGAGGCACCCAGTTCTGGAATGATACATACACTGAGATTGTTGTTCATCAGTGTTAAATTCTTCGCTTTGGAGTAAATGAGGGGAAGCTCAAGGAAGAGATGATGTAAATATTTGGGAATCCTTTATCTCACTTCCAAACTTGAGTAATGATTAAGTAACAGTCTGTTTTTTCTGATTTTTAAAACATACGAATAATAAAATCAATAATATAAATAGAAGGAAGCATAACACTTTTCTGTCAGACCTGAAAAAATAGTTTTTTAAAAAATTCAACCATCTTTATTAATCTATCAGTGTTACATTTCATACGTAACATCTAGTTGTATTCTCAAAGGGCTTACTTTAGTACAACATCTTAATAGCAGAAAGCCAAGTAAGATGGCCAAACCTCACATTAGCATTTTAATATCCTCTGGACAAGGGAAGCCAGAAAGTCAGTCACTTTACATACATGTAAGAGTAGTGTTCCAAAATAAGTAAGAAGTTGCTACCTTTTTAAGCGGGGAGGAAAAAAACTTTCATTTTGGTCTTTGTGTTTCAGCAAATTATACTTTCAATTAACAGAAACAAAGATACCATAAAAATGCTTTGCTTTTAAAATTTCTGAACTTCAGTACAAATTAAAATAGTCCTAGAGTCTTTTGGGAGGCCAATAGCTAGTAGCTACATTAATTGGTGTAGATGAGCCTCCTGATTGATAACCAGATCCAGATTGAGTATAGCCCCTGATAAAGGGATTAGGATTAGGGAAGGATAAGGATTAGGCCTACTTGGAGGAAAGGTCATGGTACTTACAGGATGTGAAGTAAAACCTGATCTTGGTCGATAGACCCGAGGTTGGCCTGGAGCCATTCCAGGTTTAGAGGTGGGGAGGTGGGGAGCCCAGTATAATTAGCAGGCTGAGAAGTTTGGGTAGTTTAAATTTGTGCAGGATAATTGCTCTCTTGGTATTGCTGTGGCGGCTGAGCAGGCAATTGTTGAGGCTGACCAGAAGGGCAGGAGCTGGTGCCTGGGTAGTTGGTTGCTGGCCGTATTTCTGGAACTGCTGAGGTTGTTGGGGTCCACTCTGCTAACTATGGCTTGTTGAATACTGAATACCGTACTGTTGAGGCTGCTGAGGTGGAGGCTGCAGCTGCTCCGTACCATAGCTGGCCTGTTATTGGTACTCTTGATACAGGGCTTTCAGTCTGACCTGCTTGTATCTCAGCTCCTGTACATAGTGGTTGCTGTGGCTGAACTCCTGGTGGGTGAGCTGCTGCTGCTGAGGAAGAGGAGGCAATGCTGTCAGGTGTTCCTGAACAGTCTTCTGCAGGAGCACTGGGTTGCCCTGAAACCTGATCACCTGTTAAGCCAAACGACAATGTAACATTATTATTGATTTCATCTCGGTTTTTTAAAAGGATCAAAAGCTGACATACTTGCTGCCATAACCTAAGTAGACTGTTTTCCAGAAGAATCTGAAGAAGCAGGCTTTTCTTCCTTGCCATCCACAGTGTCATTTTCAGGAATATTGGTGGAAGGTCCTGGTTCTTTATTTCAAAGTTCTGTCAGTTCTTGACAGAGATACTTCACCTGACTTGATTCAAGGGATCTTTGTAGGCCATTAACAAATAATGTCAGTTTCAGTATCCTACCACACTGAATTGCAAAGAGAAGGTCAGAACAACCAAAAATTGT